CCCGAGGAAACCCCCGGGACCTGCTGGGGCGCGGGCAGCCGGGAGCTGCGCAGGGGAAGGGGCTGGGGGTCCCATCCTGACCCTCCAGCGGGCACCCACCACCAGTGGGTGGCATTGACTCTCTGCTCCCACCTTCCAGGCTGGTTTTCCAGGCTCTTCCCAGCCAGTCCCTGCTACACTTTAAATCCCACCCGTGACTGCCACAAGCCTTCCCACGGTGACCAAGCCTTGGACTCTGCCTCCAGCCTCAGCTACAGGAGGGCTTCTCACCCCCAACCCTTAGCAACTGAGTTTGTCCAGGGGAAAATCCCCCTCTACCACCACCAAAACATACCATTGCTGTCCTCACCTGGGCTTCCAGAGCCTGTCCTTGAAGCCACAGGCACGTGGAAACAGGATATTTCAAAACCCCACCACCCCAGGACTGCTGACTGACCCTGCAGGTGACAATGGATCCTGCCCTTCCAGGTGGATCAAACCTGGAGCAACACTTGGATCCCAGGTGAACACTCCCTCTCCTCCCTGTCTCAGCTCCTGCACCAACCTTGGCCCGTGTTCCCCTTCCCACAGCTTTCTGGGGCACACAACAGGCCATCAGGGGCATTATGATACTGGTCCTGGAGCAGGGGACAGGGAGGGGGAGATCCCTGAAACCCCCCCAGCTCCTCCACCAACTCCCTCAGGCTGTGCTGTGGCAACCAGAGCTGGTAGATGAAGGGTTTGTTGTTCTCTGGTGGGTTTCTGCAAACACCTCCTGCTCCCTGAGCCCAGGCCCTGGCTGGCAGGATCCCCTGGGGGGGGCAAGGAAGCAGCCTGGTGGCTTCAGGAAGCTGAGGGAGATGGGAGAGAAAGTGGGTCTGGGGGAAAATCCAGCCCAAAAACTTGCAGCAGCCCCAAGCCTGTGGCAAGAGCCACCACTGGCCAGCAAAAGGGACATGTCCCCCAGCCTGTGAACCCACCACTGGCATCTCATCCTCTCCTGGGGGCACTCAGGAGGGACTGGGAGCAGAATGGAGCTGGATGAGAGGCAGGGAGCACAGCAGCTCAGCAGAGCCCCTTGAGGAACTGTGCCAGTCCTGCCAGGAGAGCTGCCTCCCACGGGGACAGGACAGCTCTCCCTGGCCCCCCAGCAGACACAGAGACTTCAAAGCCCTTCAAAAGCAACTCCTGCTTCTGCAGGATCCTGCCCCCCCACCCCCCCAAAAAAAAGCTCCCAGAACATCCCCAGGTGCAGAAGGAAGGCCTGGCAGAGCAGGGTGGGTACCTGGGTGCCACAGCTCAGCACAGGAAAGCCCAGAGGTCTGGGATCCATTTTCCTCCCTCCTCCACCTCCCTCTGCCTGCACACCCCTCCCTGCCACCCCAGGGACCCTCCCTCTAGCCAGGAGCTGTGGGCTGGTTTGCTCTGCACTTCACCTTCCCGGGGCTTTTAATCAAGGCAAAGGCTTTTACCAACATTAACTAATTAACCGAGGCCGTTCCCACCAGCACAGCTGCTCGTGCCCTTCCCCCTGGGCACTGCTGCCTCCTCACCTCCAATCAAACAGAAGCTTTGGAGCCACAAGTGGAACCATTCCCCAGGGGATGTGGGGCTGGGCAGCTGCTGCAGGCTCACCCTGAGAGCTCCCTCCTGAGGGAACCAGCCCGGAGTGTTCCCAGATGGAGACTTTCTGCTGAGAACCCTCCTTCGGTGAGTGGGGCTGTGCTGGGGACCTGCCAGTCCCTGGCACCCACAGCTCTGCTCCTCCTTCCCAACACCCCCCTGATGGGGTTGGGTTCCTGGCGACCCCCCTGGGGGCATTTTAGGGAGGGGACAAGCACCCAGGGGAGGGGAGGGTTCCTGCCTGGAGGCCAGATCAGGCAACTGAAGGAGCAAAGCTCCTTCCTCCCCCAGTTCCAGTTGTCCGACTTCCCTCTGGCTACTGGGATGAGGGCAGGAGGGACCAGGCAGCCCCCAGCAAGCTCTTTCCTGCTGCCCTGGCATCTGGATGGAGAAGGAGGACACTGTGACTGCTTCCCCTGCTCCAGCTCACAAGGTCCCATCGTTATTCCACAGGCAAGAGCTGTTCCAGTTCCACCATGATCTCCCAGAAGTTCTCAAGAACTTCACTGGCCATTACAGAATCTCAGGCTAGTTTGAGTTGAAAGAGACCTTGAAGATCATCTAGATCCAACCCCCTGTATGGGCAGGGACACCTCCCACTAGAGGTGGGAAGACACAGCATCTTGAGGCCAAGGCTCCTGCCACCTGGTGTGACTGCACATTGGGTACCTCTCCTGCCCCAAAGGAGAGGTCCTGACTGCAGGAGCTCACTGCTGGGACAGCCAGGCTACAAAAGCTCTCCAAGTTTTCCACCTTGCTGATTTTCTATGCTGCTCCTCACCCCCCAGCTAAGCATGTGGAAAGAGAAGGTCTTGGCTTTGACAGCAAAGCACAGGAGAAGATGATGGTGCCCTCACCATCCCTCTGAGGAAGACCTGAGAGGCTCAAAGACATCACCAGAGTTGTTTTTTTTTCTCCCCAACTTTCTCCATCCCACGTCCTCCAAGGCGGGTCCAACATAACCAGGATGACTCTTCCCTTGAGCCACCACCTCAGAGTCTGTGCTGTGGTGATTCACACCCTGCCATGGTGCCCATCAAAGGACACCTCGTCCCCACCTCAGCTTCAGCCGCAGGAACGCGGGGCTGGCAGCCACCACTCACCTGCCTGTTGAAGTCTTCTTCATTCTCCATCCACATGTACTCTGCAAAGGGGTTGTTCTCCTTCTCATCGTGGCCATTCACCACTTGGTCCTCTTTGGATTTGGGACTGGAGGCCGTGGTGCTGGCGAGATCGGAGCCATTCATCATTCCTGACTCTGGGGAGGGAAAAGCAGGAGTGAGGGAGCTGCTGGGATCCCTGTGCCATGGAATGGGTTGGAGGGACCTTAGAGATCATCCAGTCCCACCCCCTGCATGGGCAGGGACACCTCCCACCAGCCCAGGCTGCTCCAAGCCCCATCCAACCTGCCCTTCAACACCCCCAGGGATGGGGCAGCCACAGCTTCCCTGGGCAACCTGGACCAGTGTCCTGAGACCCAGGCCAGCCACCAGCTCCCAGGTGGACACTGCCCACCAGTTATGCTGATGGGAGACAGCTCAGGCTTCCAGCACAAGGACCTGCTGTTCCAGGCTGCTTTTCCCAAGGCACAGCACTATTCCTGACTCCTCCTCTCTCCTGGGAAGCAGCACAACACCTCCCTGGCAGGGGCAGCATTCTTTTTTCCCTGTGGTTTTGACCCATCAGGGATAGTCTGAACATACTTGGTCTGGATTTAGAGCAGGGGATGACCTGACCAGCAGCTCCTGGCAAATCCAGGGGCTTGGAAAAGCACCAGCATACCCCAAATCCCATCCATCCCATTCATGTTAAATCTGCCACAACACACCCCAAAAAGCCCACAGCTGGGTTCTCCCTGCAGAGAACACACCTACAGCACAGGAGCAGGCTGCCTCCAACCCCCAAATCCCAGTTTTTCTGCCAGAACATTCACACTCCAGCTCCTGTCCCTTTATCCCTGCCAGAATTCAGGGACTGAAACTCTGCAGGGGCTCAAACATTTCCCCAGAGGTTTTGTAACACAGCAGCTGAGGGCTCCTGCCTTCCCTGCTCCCCCATGTGCCTGGAAAACCTGTCCAGATCCTAAGAGCAGGGCAGCCCTGAGCCCACCAGCATCTCCAAAATATCCCTAACAAGTCCTGCTGCAGTGCCTGGAGCAATCACAAGGGGTCCCATGAGGCAGGCAGGGTTTGGCTGAGCTTGGCTTCCCATTTTTGGCTTCCACCAATCCCTAAGGAGCACATGGAGAGGCCAGCAGGGACATGGAAGTGTCAGAGTAAGACAGGAGGCATCCCATAGATCCATGTCCCTGCACTTTGCTAGGAGAAACAGCAGGCAGCAAGAAACAGGCAGGAGAGGCAGTGGGATCCAGTGGGATCAAAGGCACTGCCTTTGAATTCAGTGGGAATATCCCAGAAAAATCCCACCCAACAGGCAGAGGCACCCAAATCTCCTGTGGGTGCTGGCTGGGCTGGCTCCAAGGGCAGCGGGTGCCCAGGGGAATGTGCACAGATGGTGACAGCACAGGAGTGACCTTCAGGACATGCCACCTCAGGAGTCCAAACATGAAAACACCAAAATCCAACCCAAACATCTTTTTATCTCCCTTTTTTTCACAGCTGGGCCTGAACCATGGAATCCCAGACCAGCTTGGGGTGGAAGGGACCTTGAAGATTTTCTAGTTCCAACCCCCTGAAGGCCCCAAGGTCATAGTTTGCCCCTATCAGCCAGCAGTTGGAGCACTCCCCTGGCTGTGCAGAGCCATTCCTGCCTGGAAAAGCACCTTCCAAGGGTGGATTTTCCAGTCTGGCCCAGCCAGGCTGGATGTGTGTTTTGGGCTGCGTGTTTATTGATCTGAGTCACTGGAGCAGGAGCCAGAGCAAGTCTGATACGTTGCTGAGATGTCCCAGCTCTGCTCCAAGCCACAGCTCTCCAGTAAAACTGAACCAAACACTAGATCTGCTCTCTTGCAACAAAGGTGCTTGGATTTGTTCCTCCTTTCTCCTGGAAAACGGAGTAGGTTAAAAATAAAATAAAATCATAATGATAAATCTTCAACCTGAGCAGCTTATTCAGCCTAAGAGCTCAGAAAACACACCCAGCACCTCCTGAAGGCTCCACATCCCCAGCTGGAGCATGGCAAATCCTGAGGAGCTGTGCCAGGAGGCTGCTGGCAAGGCAGGAGGCAGCCTGGGAAGGTCCTGCTGGGCTGGACAAAATACCTCCATCATTCTTCCTGCTCCCATACTGGCCCGGGGCTGGAAAGCAGCCTGGCAAGGCAGGTTTCCTTTGGAAAAAGTGCTGGGCAAGCCAAAGTGGGAAGCAGGAATTCAGCCCCTGTTTAGGATTTGGGTGATGCTTCCAGGCTGCAGGTTTTGCAGGACCTGATTCCAGCTGGGACCATCAGGTGGTCCCAGGGCCACCAGCCTGGGAACAGTCACGGAGTCAAGTTAGTGACTGAGACAACTGAGGGCAGAGTGAGCAGGAGGACACCAACCCAACCCCACAGTCCCAGAGCTGACATCTGAAGGGATGGGCTTTCCTTGGTCACATCACCCCCATTTCTGTGCCACCCAGTCCCTGTGCTGCTGCACAGGGATGGCCCCGTGGTCCAGGCACAGGGCTGGGCCCCCCGCCCCTCCCAGGTTCCTGCTTTTTTGGAATGACAAAGCAGAGCAGGAGCAAGGTCCTGCTGTCACTGCACTGAGAAACTTGATGGAGGAGGAGCAGCAAGTTTGCTGGGTGACTCTGCAGGAGGTGGGCAAGGACTCCTGAGAGAAGCAGCACCCAGGGGTGGTGTGGAAGGGGGTGGCTGATCCCAGAGGAGGCAGGGATGAGGGAGAGGAGCAAGGGCAGCAGGAGCAAGAGGCAGGGGTGGGAGCCTGGTGCAGAGCAGCCAGAGTGGCAGGGAAGGCAGCTGATTCCAGGAGGGAGCCAGCTCATTCCAGAGGGAAGTGTTTTTCCAGCAGCCTGCACAGGAACAGCCATCAGGCAGCGCTGCTGGAGCCGGTCGGGGCTGTTGCTGGTGCAGGACAACAGGCAGCAGCTGGGGAGATTGGAATGATCCACCCTGGGAAGAGACTATCCAGGCAGGA